AATCGAAATTTCTCCGGCTGTTTGCTATCGCACCCGGCTAAATCTAGCCCGAAAACGGCTAAAATGGCAACACTGCGTATATCGCACAGGTAACGTAACAGTTTTTTTCTGTAACGTACCAGTCCGACTATTTTTTATAAATATTGACCTCAAAATTAATTTTAGCAGTTCAATTGATACGTAGTTCTTGAATTCCGTCCTGAAGCTAGGAAACTGTGTACCAACTTTTGAAAATATTTTATTAGGAGAGCAGACTTTTTCAATAATATAAAGCAACTTTAAAAAGTACTTCCAAAAATTGTAATGCAACCGTCCACTGTTGAAACATTCATAACTCCTAAACCCCAGGAGTTACAATATATGTTTGTATGTATTAAATAATGCCACATACTTATGCTTTCAGATGCAAAAAGAAAAATTATCCAAAAATTGTATTCTCGCGAGTTTCAGCTGTATTTAAAAATCAGTGTGAGCCAAAATGTAATGTAACAGCCCGCGTTTTGGGCCAAATGTATTTAGAAACGTAGTACAATTCTAAAATATTTTAGTTTCTTTATCACATAAGTAATATAAAATATAATAAATTTGTTTGCAACTACCACCTGACAAAGCGGCGTTAAATTTAATATAAGCGGCGCACATACCGGTATTTTGATAATCTAGGCGGCCAAAACTATTTTAACGTTTTTTATAGTCTTTAATACTTTTATTCATCATCATTCAGACAATGGACTTTTTTTATTAAACTATTATATTATTAACCCTTAAATGACCGTGGTATCTTAAAAGACACAACCATTTTGTACTAGAATAAATAGAAAATGAAATTTTTTTTGGGTATTTATAGGTTAAATTATATAAAATAGACATCATTATTAATGTTTTATTAATGCCTTTTTGTATTTTGTCGCACGTGTCGGAGAGTTTTGAATGTCTTTTAATACTTTAGAAGCATCTCTCTTTCCACTTTTGATTAACTCTACTGAAGCAGCATGCATAATGAAGTCTTTGTCCTTTACTGTAGACCTGAGTTCTGCAGTTTTGCGTCTTTTAGATCTTTCACCAGAGTCACTAAAATGTTTCTGAGGACGGCCACATCGTTTCGGTTTTGCTGCAACAGTTAATTCAAAACCTCCTTCCAACCAAGACTTGTACTTTGATAGGAAAACATCTTCCTTTTTATGTACTTGCAGCCACTTTTTCTTGATTTGTGATTTAAAATGTGAAAAATTGTGCTTAAGAGCTGATATCTGTTCGTCAGAGTATTTTTCACTTGACAAAAGCTCCTGTTGTAAAGAGTTTAATTTTTCGTCCAAATTTGGTGAATTCTGAGCTTGCATGCGGTCGAATAGGTATTTTCGAGTCACATTTCGAACCCCTGAAGTGCCTTGAGAACCTTAAACAAACCAAAAAATAACAAGTATAGAAAACGCTTTTAAAAAAAATTGTACAATGAAACTTTTGAAATTCCACAATTAATTAATCTGCGGTTTTCTGCGGCTAATTCTACTTTATTCTACATCTCAAAGCATATGTACACAATCTGAAAAAAAAATTCAAGCTTGGACGGACTTGGAAGTATAACTTTCAGCTTAACAAATAAAAAAAAATATGTGTAAAAAATGCACTATTTCTCCTTATACAGAATTCGATAAATTACGTTATTAATGAACAAAATCTATAAAATATTTATTAAATTTGGAAAAAACATACCTGAAGCTTCAATTTCCATCATTAAAACGAGACATATAACTTTAATAAGTTAACTTTACTTTTTTTAAGATTTGTTGTTTGCCGAACGCCGAACGAGATATGTGTAGTGTGATAAGCAATGAACTTTTGACTGCCAATAAGGCGGTAGCGCACGCGACGAAAACGCGCGAGAGGGGGTGGAGTGAATACTCTATTGTGTTCTCTTTCAATTTTATTCATTATTAAAATCAATTAATGCATTTTACAAAATTGACTTTTGGCCGCCTAGATTATCAAAATACCGGTATGTGCGGCGTAAGTCTTTTCGATCAGCTGTTTAGGCCAAGCCCAACACGTTGAGTTCAGGTGGCGTACAAATTTTCCACTGGAAAAAATGGCGGAAAGTTGCCAACTGTTGAGCTGAGCGAAACTACTCAACTGTGCGTTTCTAAGACAAATAGCCAACGGTTGGGCAACAGCTTCGTCTTATAAACGCGCCCATTGAATTCCTCATTGGAACATGTAGTCACTCTTTTTTAGCGTGTCAACAGTTCATATGGCTTCATACCCTGTAAATGCAGCATTACATTTAAGCGACGATGTAGTTCCGCGACGACGTTAGTTACTATACTAACGATATGTATGTATGTATATACCTATCGCTCATTTACTTCAATGCTGTTATATGTAACTCAAAAAACCAAAATTTCGAGAAAACGGCTTTAAAGTTTTGAATTTACATATCGATGGCTGAGTGGAAGATCGACCTATCTCTCTACTTTCTCTCTCTACTTCAAAATTTGATTAAAGAACGCTCTACTTCAGAATTTTATGGTGCATTTACATGGTATGAATCTGTTCATAAGCCGTATGAATTTTCCTATAAAAGAAGCACCAACTCTATAAAGAAATGAATGAAAGCGATATATATTTAACATTTTTGACTTATATACTTGGCAACAGCGGAGTGTATATATCGATAGCTGAGTGGAAGATTGACCTATCTCGGCAGCCAGTTCGAAAACGCCCTATCTCAGAAAACTGTTCAAAAACGCCCTACTTCAGAATTTTATTGAAAAGCCCTCTATCTCAGAATTTGGTTGAATAACGCCCTATTTCATAATCTGGTTCAAAAACGCCCTATCTCAAACGAAATTACATTGAAAATAATAATAGGACGTTTTTGAATCGGCAGCCAAGTAGGGCATTCTTGAAAAGTTTTCTGAGATAGGGTGTTGTTGAAAATTTTTCAGAGATAGGGCGTTTTCGAACTGGCTACTGATAGGTCGATCTTCCACTCAGCCATCGATATGTAATATAAAAAATAATGAGAGGTTCTCTTCTTCTTCTTCTTTTTTGGCGCTGTAACCGCCTAGGCGATTTTGGCCGAGTTCAGCAAAGCACGTCAGTCATTTCTCCTCTGTGCCAACTGACGCCAATTGGAAACGCCAAGTGAAGCCAAGTCCTTCTCCACCTGATCTTTCCATCGCAGTGGGGGCCTCCCTCTTCCTCTGCTACCACCAGCGGGTTCCGAGTTGAATGAAACCGATTCAAAATAACGTTCCGGTTTGGGTTTCGGTTTTGCCAAGTGTTTCGGTTTCGGTTTTGGTTTCGTTCTTCAAAATTTATTTCGGTTTTGGTTTCGGTTTCGTTCCGGTTTCGGGTTTTCACAGAAATTTTGTTGATATTATTTAAATCACAATGTCTTAAACGTTGAGGAAAGAAAATCGAAAATTACAGTTCACTGATAATATCAACACTAGGTTCTTTCCCTAACAATCCGGATCGGATTTGGTAATTAGAGAATAAGAGAAACATTTTCTTTCAAAAATGGAACAAAGTTCAGAAGTACGGAAACGCAAAAACCCACATTTCGGGCCCACAAGTCGAGAAACAGCTGATTCACGTTGTTCTTGTTTTTGTCACTTATACCATGTTCTGACCGACATCGGAAACATGTTTTCGATGCTAAAACTGGTTTTCGACCTAAAACTTGTGTTTTCGTCCATATAAAATCTGTTAAACGGAAACCAGTTTTCGCTGAAAACTACTTGAAAACTCACTTTCCACTCATTCCAATCGGTGTCTTCACTAGTTTTTTTCGATTATTTATCGAAGTGGAAGTCATATTTTATCGTCTTTAATACGCCATTTCGGATTTATTGTTAATTGCCTGGCCAAAGCAAAATAAGAATGAAAGTTAAAGGTTGTAAATGAAAAGAAAATGAAGGAAAAATGTTTTGGTTGTCGGTCAGAACATGGTATTAAATGCAAACACTTGAAAATTGAATTTTGGTTTCACAAATTTGATTTTAAGTACATAGATTGAAAATACATCAACAGGCCATTCACTTTTCCTTAAAAGCACCAAGTAAATGCAGGCAACATGTAAACACAATACGGCTTATATGCACTTTGGCACTTTATCCATTTTTACTCGGAGAAAATTTCGGGCTGTTTCGGGCAGGAAGAAGAATACACTTACGATCGAATACACTCGAATTTTCGCTCTCTATTACCCATTTTGTTGAGTACAGGCATGATTTCTGGGCTATTTTGGGCACACGCGGGATCCCGCATTGCGTACGGGAAAGAAACTAATTAAATATAATTAATCGATTATCGATTCACAACAACAAAGTCATCAGCAGATTTTTGCGAAAAGTTACCTTGCCATACTTATTTACTACTTAACAAGAATTTTAGCAAAATGTTGCTGATTTTGGTTAAATAAATCATTTATTTCAAAGAAATTTTTATTTATTATTTTTGTAAATTTCTGGAAACCGATTGAAACCTGTGATTGAAATGGTTTCGGTATCGTTCCTTTTCAGGTCAAGATAACGGTTACGGTTTCGGTTTCGGTTTTGAAAAACGAAACTGTTTTAAACGGTTACGGTTTCGGTTTGGGTTTCGGTTTCATTCCTTG